TGGGACTGCATATTATTTTCTCAACTAATTTCTAGGTACTTACTATGAATGAATTTTCTATGTACTTGTGAGCATTAGGCGCTGAAAATGCGTTTTAGCAAGTTTCAAGGCGCAAGAGCGTCAAGAAAGCAGTATTCCATTAAAACACATGCATGCACATCTGTTTAATAATTTAAGAAAATGTTTCTCACACTGTTATGATGGAAAAGGACATGAAGCATGATTGTTTAATTTAAAATTAATATTTTTAGATGATGATGATAAAAAACTCAATCCTAAGAAATCATGTATTGAAAGTTATTTTTCATCATCTACGGTACAGCATATTCTTTTCTAAACCACTTCCTAAGTGCTTTCTCATGTATGTGAATTAGGCGCTGAAAATGCGTTTTAGAAAGTTTCAAGGCGCCAGAGAGCCAAGAAAGCCGTTCTGAATTGCAGACACATACGTGGACATTCGGAGTCATACGTTAAATAGAGGTTTTTAACATTGTCATGATAGACAATAAGATGAAAAATAACTGTTTACTAAAACTCATATTTTGATAAAATAGTGATGAAAAAGACTAAATCGTGACAAATCATTTGCTAAAATTCCTTTTTCATCAAATAAGGGACAGCATATTATTTTCTCAAGAAATTTCTATGTACTTAGACATTTGTGTGCATTAGGCCCTGAAAATTTTAGCAAGTTTCAAAGCGCCAGAGCGTCAGAAAAGCCGTTTTTTATTAAAACAGATCCATGAACACCTGTTTCTTAATTTCAGTAAGGTTTTTGACATTGTTATGAAGGAAAAGGACATGAAGCATCATTGTTTATAATAAAATTCATATTTTGATATTATGATGATAAAAAAATCAGTACTAACAAATCATGTGAAGAAAGTCATTTTTCATCAACTATGGCTAAAGCATATTATTTTCTCAACCTCTTGCCCAGGTGCTTACTCAGTTGTGTGCATTAGGCTGAGAAAATGCGTTTTAGCAAGTTTCAAGGCGCAAGAGCGCCAGGAAAGCCCTTCTTCATTGCAGGCACGTTCGTAGACATCCGTGTCATACTTTCAATAGAGGGTTTTCATATTGTCATGATAGAAAATGGGATGAAAAATTACTGTTTACTAAAATTCATATTTTGATAAAATAGTGACTAAATCGTGACAAATGTGCTGAAAGTCCTTTTTCATCAAATATGGGACTGCATATTATTTTCTCAACTAAATTCTAGGTACTTACTATGTATGAATTTTCTATGTACTTGTGAGCATTAGGCGCTGAAAATGCGTTTTAGAAAGTTTCAAGGCGCAAGAGCGTCAAGAAAGCAGTATTTCATTAAAAATATGCATGCACATCTGTTTAATAATTTAAGTAAGGTTTTTGACATTGTTATGATGGAAAAGGACATGAAGCATGATTGTGTATTTTAAAATTCATATTTTTACATTATGATGATAAACTCAATCCTAAGAAATCATGTATTGAAAGTTATTTTTCATCATCTACGGTACACCACTTCCTAAGTGCTTCCTCATGTATGTGAATTAGGCGCTGAAAATGAGTTTTAGGAAGTTTCAAGGCGCCAGAGAGTCGAGAAATCCGTTGTTCAGTGAAAACAGGTATGTGCACTTCAATTTCAATTGAATTCAACGTAAATTTTATTTGTATAGCACTTTTAACAATGGACATTGTCACAAAGCAGCTTTACAGAAATAAATACATTCAGGATATAAATTGTAAATGTATAAATTTATCCATAATGAGCAAGCAAGAGGCGACGGTAGCAAAGAAAAACTGCCTGAGACAATATGTGAAGAAACCTTGAGAGTAACCAGACTCAAAAGGAAACGCATGCTCATCTGGGTGGCCACAGATAGTGCAATTATGAGTAAATCACTTCTATAACTGTGTACTACATGAACAAATAGTGCAATTATGTAGCCAGGAACTTGATTACAGTTTTCAAATGAAGTATGTTTTGTTGAAACTATCCACTGTCTACTGGTGGAGACGTGAGTGCAAAACTGCTCCCGGCAAAGCCACCACGGCAATCGCAGTCCCAAGACATCATAGTACAACTGCCCATATGAGCTGGAGTCCAAAGCCATCTCCATGTTCCCTAAGCAGAACCATCCCCATCAATCACAATAATCTTCAGGCCGTCCATGTGGGGCCGCCCCAGCAGCAGCGAGCGATTTCCAACCGATGAGAACTCCAACCAGAAGTAGGGCATCAGGGTCGATCAGGTAGGCCAGAAAGCAAGAAGGGGTCAGGATCACTGATATCTCAGGAATAGCATTTGTAGCTCGACAGAGACAGAGGATAGAGAATGAGTGAGAGGGAGATAGAAGGAGAGAGAGAGAGAGAGAGAGAGAGAGAGAGAGAGAGAGAGAGAGAGAGAGAGGGAGAGATTTTTAGGTATGCTTTTTGTCCCGTAATGGGTAAGGACAATGTACTTTGTGTGCAGAGTGCAAGCAGGGACTTGGGCAAGAATACATATGACAGCATAACTAAAAGAGAGAGCCAGGAGGTAACATAGACTTGAGGACGTCCTGGGTCATAAAGCAGCCAGACACTCCAGCCTCAACAAACCTGTAAGAAAGCGTGAGAGAGGTGCATTGAAACATCCCAGTTTACCACAACACTCTATGCCTGGGAGCCCACCAGGTCAGCTCCTTTACCGAAGAAAAAAGTATTCACAAAAGGCTTGACTAAACAGATACGTTTTCAGCTGAGACTTAAACACTGAGACTGAATCTAAGTCCTGAACACTAACTGGAAGGCTCTTCCATAACTGAAGGGCTTTGAAAGAGAAAGCTCTACCCTATGCTGTAGCGTTCACTATCTGAGGTACCAACAAATACTCTGCAGCTTTTGATCTAAGTAGGCGTGATGGATTGTAAAAGACCAAATTTTGCTCAGGTACTGAGACTTGAGATCATTTAATGCTATAGGTCAGTATTTTATAATCAATGCGAAATTTGATTGGTAGCCAAGGCAGTGTGGATAAGATATGATAAGATATGAGATGGTCATATCTTCTGGTTCAAGTAAAGACTCTCGCTGCTGCATTCTAGACTAACTGGAGCTTGTTCATGCATGTGCTGGAACATCCAGACAGTAAGGTATTACAATAAGCGTAACTAGAGATTAAAAAAAGCATGAACTAATTTTTCTGCATCGCGTAGTGACATTATATTTCTTATCTTAGCAATATTTCTGAGATGAAAGAAGGCTATCCTAGTAATATTTTCTAGATGAGCTTCAAAGGTTTTGAGTAAATAATCACGCCAAGGTCCTTTATTGCTTCACGTGATGAAATATCCAGAGTTACTATGCAATCTGAAAGCTTACGTCTAGCTTCATGTCGTCCTAGTACAAGTACTTCTGTCTTGTCAGAAGTAAGTAAAAGGAAGATAATAAACATCCAGTGTCTAATGTCCTTTACACATTCCGTAACATTATTAAGCTGGTGTCTGTCATCTGGCTATGCTGAAACCTACAACTGTGTGTCATCAGCATAACAGGAAAAGCTAATACCATGTTTGAAATTAATTCTGCCCAGAGATAGCATACATAAAGAAAAGAGCAGTGGGCCTAAAACAGAACCTTGCAGAACACCAAACATTACCTTAGTATGTGTAGAGAAATCACTATTTGCATCTTATACCGGTCAATCTGTGTGCATTTGGAGTTTTCATTAAAACACACACACATTCAAATCCTTGTAATGCTTTCAGTAGAGGTTTTTCACAATTTTATGATAGAAAATGAGATAGAAAATGATTGTTTACTTTAAAATTCATATTTTGATAATAAAAGGTTAATCGTGAAAATCATTGTCATTTTTCAAATATGGTACAAAATATTGTTGTCTAAACAAGGGAACTTATAACGGTCAATCAAATGAGACCTGAGCCAGGAGAGGGCCATTCATATAACACCAACAACATTTTCTAGTCTATAAAGGAGAATAGCATGATCAGTGGTATCAAAATCTGCACTAAGGTCAAGCAACACAAGCAAGGAGACCCAAACCTGATCAGAGGCCTGTAATTTTACCACTTTAACCAGTGCTGTCTCTATGCTATAATGAGGCCTAAATCCTGACTGATATGTTTCATAAATGTTATTCCAATGAAGGTATGAACATAACTGCTGTGTTTCAACATTTCTAGGGTTTTGGAGATAAAGGGGATGTTTGAGATTGGCCTATAGTTGGACAATTGAAAGGTTTTGAGGTCAGGTTTTTTAATCAGGGGTTTGACAACTGCCAGTTTAAAAGATTTAGGTACATAGCCAGTGGTAATGTCAATTCAGTGTCAGGCTTTCAACAGAGGTTTTTCACATTATTTTGATGGAAAATGACATGAAGAATGATTGTCTATATTATATATTAATAATATGATGATAAAAAGATTTAATCCTGACAAATCATACGTAGAAAGTGATTTTTCATCAACTATAGCACATTATTTTCTCAACAAATCCCTGTGTTTGCACATGTGTGCATTAGGAGCTGAAAATGCATTTTAGCAAGTTTCAAAGCGCCAGAGCATCAAGAAAGACACCTTCCATGCAAACACACATACTTGTCCTATATTTAGTACAAGTCTTTCAAACTGTTATGGTGGAAAATTATATGAAACATGATTAATTATAATAAACTTCATATTTTGATATCATAATCATGAAATGACTAAATCCTGACAAGTCATTTGTAGAAAGCTATTTTTCAACCACTATGGTAAAGCATATTGTTTTCTCAGCCAATGCTTATTTACTTAAAAAACTGTGTGCATTTGGAGTTTTCATTACAACACACACATTCAAATCCTTGTAATGCTTTCAGTAGAGGTTTTTCACAATTTTATGATAGAAAATGAGATAGAAAATGATTGTTTACTTTAAAATTCATATTTTGATAATAAAAGATTAATCGTGAAAATCATGTATTGAATGTCATTTTTCAAATATGGTGCAAAATATTGTTGTCTAAACAAGGGTCCCTGGAGGACTAGTGGTTAGGCCACACTGCACTCACCACTGCAACTTGGGTTTGATTCCCAGCCAGGGAACCAACCTGGGTGCACTGAGTGCACCCAGGGAACCAACCTGGGTGCACTGAGTGCAACAGTGCGCTCTCAGTGCCGGTCCCAAGCCCTGATAAAATTGGGCAGGATTGCGTCAGGAAGGGTATCCAGTGTAAAAATCATGTGCCAAATCATATACATGGACCAATGATCCACAGTGGCGACCCCTAACGGGAGCAGCCAAAAGAGGAACAACATATTGTTTTCTAAATGACTGTGCAAGTGGTTACACAAGTGTGTGCATTAGACAGCGAAAATACGCTTTACAAAGTTTCAAGGTGCCAGAGAGGCAGGAAAGACGTTTTTCATGAAAACACATATGTGGACATAGGTGGTATAAATTAAATTGATTTTTTTCAGATTGCTATGATGGAAAATGATATTAAGCAATATTGTTTCTATTGAAATTCATATTTTGATAATATAATGAAAAAAGACTAAATGTGTAGAAAGTGATTTTTTCATCAAATATGGTACAGCATATTGTTTTCTGAATGAGTGCCTAAACAAGTGTGTGCATTAGTCATTGACAATGTGCTTTAGTGAGTTTCAAGGCACCAGAGCGGCAGGAAATCTGTTGTTCATTGAAAAGACATACATGCACATCCAATTCAATTTCAATTTTCATACATGCACATCAAATTCAATTTCAATTTCAAGAGCAGAAGTGGTCAGGATCACTGGTATCCCAGTAGTAGAATGTGTAGCTCAGCAGAGAGAGAGAGAGAGAGAGAGAGAGAGAGAGAGAGAGAGAGAGAGAGAGAGAGAGAGA